ACAGACCCCAGTGACTGGCACCAGCTGCGGGGATTAGATCGGAGCAGGAAGAGTAACTTGGTGTTTGGGAAACAGCCAACGCAGCTGGCTGGCAGCAGGCAACGCTGTGCACATTTTCCCCGTGGTGGGAGCAGACCTAGAGAGAAAAATTTTGCTTTGTCTCATATATACTCACCTCTGAAGACGCTTTTGCAGTTCCCTTCCCTCTCAAGGGCTAGGCACATAACCTGGACAAGATATAACCTCTCTAAAACTGTTTTCACAGTTTTAGCAGACCCACAGTAAGTTATTCAGATACAAATCTCTGCGATAGGACTTGCGACCAAACAAAGATCACTTTGTGTAGCTGCCTACGTCTGAGCAGGTTGTCAGCACACCTCTCACTGTCAGAGAGGCACAAGCACTTCTAGGACACAATCCAGCGTCTCGTAAAGGAAACATCTAAATTTCTTGCCCCTTACTATTAAAGCAGCACAGGGGATCACTCAAAGACAGATGTGCATGTTGTAGATATCTAAAATTGGGCAAAACAAATCTGAATCTAGGTGACCAGGTGCTCTGCAAGACACAGCAGGGTCAAAGTGCTTCTTTCCTTCAGTAACTACAGAGAAAGAAAATACAAATATCGCTTCAGGGCACAGCCAGCCTCTACAGGGTTGTTTGTCGAAAACAAACGAAGGACTTTTACCAGCAAAAGCTTCGCCAGGCACCAGCTCCCGTCTGCGCCGTTGCCATCACAGGCCCTGCAAAGCATCTGGCACGAGGGCTCTGCAACGCAAGCTCCTTGCAGGTTTACTAACCAGCTTCACTTCTTGAGACTTTCGGATTTTACTGACAGTCATTATTTAATAGCAACCGCAGCAATTACAGTCATTCTAGCAAAGGCTCACGAACCACAGCATCTTCTCAGCGTATTCATCAGTTTTTGCTAGGGAGAACGATACTGGCGTAAGCTATAACAAAAAACTTTTTCTAAGTCAAAATAGAGCCCGAGTCGTTGTCTCTGACTCCGTGCCAGCGAGCTGGCCTCTTTGCTGCGAGATTGGCACACGCAAAGGACACACGTGCCTTAGCCAAAGTTGCCTCAACCTGTTATTCCGAGGATCCGGCATCTGCAGTTGGGCACAGAGGATATTATTACTAATAAAGGCCTTTGCTTCACTTAGCTACTTTACTTTAAAACTTTTTTTTGCTGCAGTGTTTAACTTAATTCAAATGCCCAGTTAACTAACTAAATAAATAAATAAAATATTTTTAAAAATCTGATTCAGATTGCACTTTGAAAATCATGTAGGAAATATAAACTGTCCTTCATGTTTTCCGTAAAGAAAATCAGAATGGAAAAATTAAGAGTCTGAATTAATGTATGGTACTTCAAGTGCTTAAATATGCGCAAAGGATTCCTTATTCTCCTCAACAAACGACCAGCCAATGCAGTGTGAAAAATGTTAACTTATTTTCAAATCAGCATCTCGCACTAGACCACTGAGTAAGGAGAATAACAAACAAGTGAAAACAAAAAGAAAAATCAAATTAAACCTGATTATTTAAATCAAAAGCAATCTATTCTATATAAAGCATGCACATTTAATACTCAAAAGCCACAAGACAGCAGAATTTAAATTGCCATTACCCTGATTACTATCCTGGTTTTCTCTCTGCATATATCCCACTTGAGTTTTATCCCTTACGGCTAGAAATTAATGGCTTATGCATGATCTTTAAAGACAAAAATTTAAGTAATATATGTGCTATACCAGGTATGGGGTGAAAAAAATTGAACTCTAAAGTGAACAAAGAACATAGCTTATGGCTAACAACCTTTACCTCAACTTTATTACACTTCAGTAGTGTTTTCAGTTTCCATGGCTTGCTTAATATCAAGCTGGGAATAATTTTTTTCAAATGTAACACTACTGATTAAAAGCAAATTTCTAGTTAAGTGGGCTTGTGGGTTTCCTTCTTTTCCTTTCTTATTCCTTCCAAAAGAAACCCATCATGCAAAACACACAACTAAGTAACACGGAAACTATCCAGGGCCATTCACACAGAGGACGCTTCCTGCAAGTCCATGAGGTTCCTGGTACTACAGCGTTGCCGGCAGTTCCCCCTAGTACTGCAAAAAGATGAGAGAGATATGGAAAACATTGTTTTTGAAATGACATCTCAAATCAAATTTCCAGGATAGACGTTATAAACTTTGTGTCACGGTTTGCTTGTGTGCTCCGTCGAATGAGAGGCTACAAGTGAACCATCTCCCTTTCAGCTGTTGGCCGACGGTCACAACTGTGACGGTCCTTTAACATCCAAACCCATGGCCTTGGAGGGGGGTCGCATAAGGGATGGGAGTCAATGTCCCTTCCAGATCTAACTGTGTCATATGCTTTAATTAGTTGCATGCAAAGCAATTTGAGAAGTGCCTACAAATTCCCCAACTTCATAGTTCTCTTGTGAAAAACCCATCTCGTTGGTCTGCATTAGTTTAAACATCCTCCAGAATAGCTTGTGATTACACAATAAGCTGACACAGAGCTTAACAAAGCAAGTTAAAGAACTGTAAATGAAGTCTAAGCATAGACTGCATTAGATGGGCATAACTTTGCATTTCTCATGTAAGAGACGTGGCAGCTTTCTTTAATAAGTCTTGAGACCACCCTCAAGAGTGGTCGGCCTCTGATGTTTATAGGACAAGACTTGTGATATTTTCCCCACTTGTGCAAAAAAATCTTTAGGTTTTCCATTAAATATTGACATGAATTCATATTTAAAAGAGGTTTTGTAATTCTGCTTGCCTAGGAAAGACAACAGCTCTTAGGTTGAATGCTTTTTGTCCTATTATCTATTTTGGGACTTGATGGGAAGAATTCAGCCCACCGACACTTAATGTCACAGCTGTGCTATGGGGAAATCAAGTACTTGTACAGTTCAGCTACAGCTTTTGTGTCCAGTGTTCAAACACACATGACGGCCACTTGAACCTTCACGTTCCTGTGTTTTCATTGACATTCCTAAGGATCTTATGGTATTTTTTCAGGTCTGATCTGCCCTTGTGTTGAGTGTCCTCCCCCACCCAGGTCATCTTCCACATCTGCCACTCATTTCTCTTCATTCACCATGATTCCTGGAAGCCACAAACAGCTGAAGTGCTACTTTCGGGGGGGCCAAGTACCAAGATCACCACCAGAGCTAGAGCAAGGCGGCCAAGGCAGACAGGAGTTTTACATATATGTAAGTGCACAGAATAACGTCTGTGGTGATTAACCAGCAGGTTTTTGACAAAGTAAAATTCACTTAGAAGATAATTTTCTCTTAATGTTGCCATTTGACTTATTCAGCATGCAGTCACATAGAATTCATTTGTTTAAAATAGAAATTACCCTTTGAAATTCTCCTTCCAGAAAGGTCAAGTTACAAACTCTATACAAGTCGCACCTCAATATTTAAGGAAAATTGTCTTACCAAGTGTCAGGAAGGCAGCTCCTAAAACATTTGGGATGGTTTGGAAGCCGAGAGACAAAATATACGTTGAAGGGATATTAATGTGGAATTTTGAACAAACACAAAGAAAACTAAAGTGAGAGCGAGGAAGACTTATTCAAAACCATCCATGTGCTGGAAAGCACAAAATCCCTGTTACTTTCTAGTGCAGGGAAATAACTGTGCACTTACGAGCTCATCCGACCACCCAGCAATGCTGGAATCTGCAGTCCTTCACAGGATGGGGGTATTTCTGAAGAGACTATTCTGCACAGACAAATTGTTTCTAAGCCTCTAGTGCTTTGACTGTGAGACCAAAGTTCCCCTGAGCTACAGTATCTCCAACAAAGCAGCACGCATACATTTTACGGGGGGAGGAAAAAAAGCGTGAATAAAAAATGGGGCACAGCCTCTTTGAGGAACTCTCCACTCCGCGGAGTATCAGGCAGGCCTCCTCATTGCAATACAGCCAACCGTACCCATCTACTGGCAGAAATATCTACCAAAGTCGATAGGAATATTTTGTAAATGAAGTAGCTGAGATATTGTTTGATGTTCATTCCCATTTGCTGTTGACCACTTTACTCCACAAAAGCGCTCTTCCCACCAGTTTCCCACTTTGGGGAGAAGTCAACCCAGACAACTCGCAATGCCAGCATAAAGAAGGAAGCGTTAATGCAAGATGGCGCTTAATTGCTAATTACATTCAACAAAACGTTAGAGGAAGGGACCTTCCAAGGCTAATTTTATAAGATGCCTACCAGATCAGAAGAACATCTGCTGGTAGATATCTTCACAAGGAAGACCACAGATATACCCATGCTGAGAATACTTTTTTCCAAAGCACTATTTCCTCTCTGAGCTAGATTCTCTCCGTATTAGTACATTTTAGCCCACCATTAGTTATATAACTATGGTAAACATATTTCAATGCCTTTTTCAAGTACTAAAGATGACATTGTTAGACAATTCAGTCAATTCAAAAGATGGACTTCAAACTCAGATATCAGACTTGCTGTTTAACAGAAGATTAACTCAAGTAATGCATAACTTTAAAAACAAAAAAAAGTCAATAACGTAGTTTCAATCATCATCTATACTAACAACTGCATATTCTCCAAATGACTGGCTCTCTCCTGTGGGATCCTCACTACATACGGTGGGATTATTCTACCATGGGCACCCACATGACTCAATTCAGCCCTGCAGGTAAGCCCTCCAGTTCCCGCCCAACTCTCCCAGCAACTTCTTGTGCATTTGGCTTGTTTAAAGCTACAGACTTTTGATCTTTTTCTTTCAGATTTCCAGGGAATCCTCCTCTTATGAATTTGGGTCCATTTATTCTCTCTAAACTTACTGCTTGGGCTTTGCTGAAAAGTTTTTCTGACAGGTCGCGTTCCTGTCAGGCTCCCCGCCGTAAACTGTTTCCGCCTTGGTTAAGGGATTAACTACTCGTTAATCATCATCTGCTCTAACCCCGCAATACGGACATTCATAAAGCAGTCACTTAATACCAAACCTACCTGTATACGCCATGTTCTTGGGGTTTCCGTAGGGAGCCCCAGGTTGGACGGGGCTGTAAACAGGGTTCATCTTGTGGAAGACTGGGAACTCTGCAGACAAAAAGGAGAAAAGCACCATGAGAAGCCAGGCTTATGTTACCCTGAGAGCAGACTTCTGTGAAGAGGCTCTTATCTATACTTTATGGTAGCCTTACCATGTTATAATTCGAGACACAAAGAGCTGCAAAGAAAAGGATTTACAACCAGACGTGACAGCTAGACAGCATATTTAATAATTTAAGGTTCAGATATCTCCATTAATTCCCCTAACTTCTTCACCGCTGCCTGTTCTGCCTCCAAATATACCCGGAGCAGAGTAATCCTACACTCACTCACCTTCCGAGGTGCTCGGGATTCATGATCCCACTTCCCGCAGGCAGCAAACAGAAAGAAGCAGCCACCAGTTCAGCCAAGGACTTCTCCTCCTTGGAGGAGCTGATGCTTTTTGGGCAACAAAAACAACCACAAAGAATAACGGAGCCTTCAGAAACTAGCAGACACAGGAGCATTTGCTGCCAGCGAGAGCCTTCGGCTGTAGCTGAACACCGAGACCTCGCACCCAGCATCAGGTCCTCTGCAGAGTGCATTGAGGCGCTATCCACTGCCCACCCATCGGAAACCAAGAGGGGCATGCACTGACATAAAACAGCCAGTAAGATTTTAATAGCACTTCTATTTATCTAATAAAGATGACGAAACAGTGCTGGGTGATCTTCTTCTAAATTTTATTTAGAGGGAAGCAAGTAACCTGGGAATTTGGGTCTACTGACTGTCAGTTAAGCAACAGCTCAGTTAATTATCTTAATGAAGCCCATTCTCAGTTCTGATTAACGGAAAAATCAGCCATTAAGCTTTATTAGGCAACACATTTGTCTCCACAGCTATCCAGTGACAATTTCAAACATGAACCCCAAATGATCTTTCTTCAAAATTGCGGGTTTCTTTTTTTATTTATTGTTTTACAGGTCATAAAATAAAACCATTCTTTCCAAAACCAAACAAGTCTCTCATGACTGATGCACAATTTCTTAGACCATTAACTCCTTCAGCTTTACTTCAGGAGAGTAAACAAGTCAAATGCTAAATGTTAGCAACAACTGACTTGACAACAATTACTGCTTAATTAATTAGCCTCCCTCCAAACCCAAGTTAGCACAGAAGGAGCAATTCGCAAAGTAAAGAAAACCACATTTATAAAGCCCACCAGAAGAAAACGCTACAGATGCAAAGTTACATATTACAACAGTAGCCAAGGCAGACGTGGCTTCAGCAATGCACAACGGAGTTCTTTAAAAACATGAAAATCAGGGCAAAACAGGAACGTACATGAAATATTATGGCTGGGATTTACATGGAAGCATAAGGATTTTATGGTTCCCAGAGCCACTGGTAACTTCGTCCTCCTACGCACAAGCAGTGTCTGGAGTTACTGGTAAGTCTGAACCACGATGAACATGCACAATATTGCTGCCAGGACCACAGCACAGGCTTTCCTGACTTTTGTGCATTTAAATTCTTCACATACACATATGTCTCCCCTTAAACGCAGGTGCTATTTATCGCGGCAGATACAGGACGCACTCATGCGCACCTTAAACCGTGCATAAATATACTGTGGGCTTGCGTATGCAATACGACAGCCTAACTCCCATTGCTTTAACCACAAGACTTTCTCTTTGGCAGACGAAAGCTAAATTCAAAAAACATTTCCATTCAGAAGACCAATTGTCTTTTCCCTGGTGAAAAAGAAGTTGGATTTAAACACAAACACCACATCCATCGTATGTCACATACGCATCAGTTCTCTCAACAAGTCATCAGACAAAATGCACCAAACCTGAACACAGGAAAGAAGTCCCTTTCCTTGTCTGAAAGGCATAGGAGATGTTTCAGCCAAATCAGAGGGTTTTTTTGGTAAATTGAAACCATCCGAAAGAAGATGGTTCGGCAGTAGCGCGGTGCAGCGAATGTGGTGCCCAGCAGTGCCAGCACCCCGCAGTGCACAGGAAGCTGCACCTACACCACTCTAAACACAGGTCAGGAAGCCAAAACTGCCTCTTTTCCATCCAAATGCCCTGATGATGCCTCCTTCGATAAACTTTTTTGGAATTCACATCACCTCTCCGTGATTCCACACCAACGGCGTGGCACGAGGATATTCTAGAAATTTTAATAGTTGTAAAACATTCTGACAAGGAAAAGCACTATAAAAACCACTGTGGATATGTCTACATTAACAAATGCCTCGGTGCAATCACAGATGATCAGGAGAGGAAAGTAGTTTGTGCTGAGGCCCCTTTGGCTACACTCTATGAGGTCTGAGGGTCTCAGACCTCTGGACTACATTTAGTCTGGTCTTCTGGACTGAGTGTCCCCACCAGACACACAGTTCGTAGCTACCTAAAGGACCATCACTGCTTTCCACCTGTGCGTCCCTCGACAGGTTGGGGTACATGTGATGGGCACCTGGAGTGAAGCACACCAAAACTGCTCTGCACACTGAAACAGTAAGGCAGGAAGCAGGAGTCACCTCAGAAGCGCAGTAGTGCTCTCAGTTAAAACACTGATAACATACGTAGCCTAAGGGTTGCTACTGTGGTACGTGATGCTTAGATAACTAAGTGATAGATGCCACAAGTAGCACCTGAGAGAAAAAAGGAGGAGAGAGATGTCAAAGCTGCAAAGACTTCTTTGTCATAATTAAACTGTTAAATCACTAGTGGGACTCCTCAGCCTGGACAACGGCCCAGCAAGTCTTCCTCTCTGCCAGGTGTCATCCCAGACACATTGAGACAGGCTGCAAGGACCTTTGATCCAAGCCCATACAGGCATCACAGAATCACAGAATGGTTGAAGTTGGAAGGCACTTCTGGAGATCATCTAGTCCAACCCCCCTGCTCAAGGAGGATCCTCTAGAGCATATTTCCCAGGATCGCGTCCAGGCAGGTTTTGAGTATCTCCAGCCAAGGAGACTCCACCACCTCTCTGGGCAACCTGTGCCAGTGCTCTGTCACCCTCACACCAAAGAAGTTTTTCCTCATGTTCAGACGGACCTTCCTGTGTCTCAGTTTGTGCCCGTTGCCTCTCGTCCTATTGCTGGGCACCACGGAGAAGAGGCTGGCCCCATCCTCTCGACACCTCCCCTTCACATACTTCTACACATTGATGAGATCTCCTCTCAGTCGTCTCTTCTCCAGCTGAACAAACTCAGCTCTCTCAGCCTTTCCTCATAGGAGAGATGCTCCAGTCCCCTCATCATCTTTGCAGCCCTCCGCTGGACTTGCTGCAGAAGCTCCATGTCTCTCTTGTACTGGGGAGCCCAGAAGTGGACCCAGCACTCCAGGGGAGGCCTCCCCAGGGCTGAGCAGAGGGGCAGGATCACCTCCCTCGACCTGCTGGCAACACTCTGCCTAATGCACCCCAGGATCCCATGGGCCTTCTTGGCCACAAGGGCACATTGCTGCCTCATGCTTAACTTGTTATCCACCAGGACCTCTCAGGTCCTTCTCTGCAGAGCTGCTTTCCAGCAGTTCAGCCACCTTCCTCATGTTTCCAGGAGAATAGTCAATAGCTCTTCAGCACGCACAAGAAACCAGGCTCCGTTCTCAACGGTGTGCCTTGGCCCTGCACTAACAGCAGGGTCTTACATCGCTCTGCAGAGGAAATCAGGGCCATCGCAGCATGACTTTAGCCTTGCCCACAAGAGCGCACAGCATGGTCCTACAAGAACAACCATCTAAGCCCAGAGCTGACTCAACTCACTAACCCAGCAGAAAACAGTTCACGTGTTGCTGGGTTTTGCGGGGAGCAGTTCAACAAGCTGAATCAGCTCACCACTAACTCCACGAGCAAAGCTAGAGCAAACCAAGGGGCAAGAGACGCTGTCTTCGACCAGGAGCAGGAAGGAGACAGTGCGAGTATCATATGAGATCTTCTCAGCCCAGCACCCTAAATACACCTTGAACATACATGGGACAGAAAGCCAGGAATCCGGCCTTCACCAGTAAGTTATTCCTTTAAAGGACAAAGCACCTTTTCCAAGAGCGACAAATTGCTGATCTAGGCGGTACGTTTGCCCGGTCACCCATGTAATGCTGCATCCTCATATGGAACAACTACGTAGTGACTGGAAAGCTTTTATCTAACTGCTAAGCACAGCACAACCATTACCGAGTGAGAGGTATACAGCGCTGAGGGACAAAAAATAAAGCAGCAAAATCAAATTAAAAGGCAACAGACTTCCTCTCGACACCTCCCCTTCACATACTTCTACACATTGATGAGATCTCCTCTCAGTCGTCTCTTCTCCAGCTGAACAAACTCAGCTCTCTCAGCCTTTCCTCATAGGAGAGATGCTCCAGTCCCCTCATCATCTTTGCAGCCCTCCGCTGGACTTGCTGCAGAAGCTCCATGTCTCTCTTGTACTGGGGAGCCCAGAAGTGGACCCAGCACTCCAGGGGAGGCCTCCCCAGGGCTGAGCAGAGGGGCAGGATCACCTCCCTCGACCTGCTGGCAACACTCTGCCTAATGCACCCCAGGATCCCATGGGCCTTCTTGGCCACAAGGGCACATTGCTGCCTCATGCTTAACTTGTTATCCACCAGGACCTCTCAGGTCCTTCTCTGCAGAGCTGCTTTCCAGCAGTTCAGCCACCTTCCTTATGTTTCCAGGAGAATAGTCAATAGCTCTTCAGCACGCACAAGAAACCAGGCTCCGTTCTCAACGGTGTGCCTTGGCCCTGCACTAACAGCAGGGTCTTACATCGCTCTGCAGAGGAAATCAGGGCCATCGCAGCATGACTTTAGCCTTGCCCACAAGAGCGCACAGCATGGTCCTACAAGAACAACCATCTAAGCCCAGAGCTGACTCAACTCACTAACCCAGCAGAAAACAGTTCACGTGTTGCTGGGTTTTGCGGGGAGCAGTTCAACAAGCTGAATCAGCTCACCACTAACTCCACGAGCAAAGCTAGAGCAAACCAAGGGGCAAGAGACGCTGTCTTCGACCAGGAGCAGGAAGGAGACAGTGCGAGTATCATATGAGATCTTCTCAGCCCAGCACCCTAAATACACCTTGAACATACATGGGACAGAAAGCCAGGAATCCGGCCTTCACCAGTAAGTTATTCCTTTAAAGGACAAAGCACCTTTTCCAAGAGCGACAAATTGCTGATCTAGGCGGTACGTTTGCCCGGTCACCCATGTAATGCTGCATCCTCATATGGAACAACTACGTAGTGACTGGAAAGCTTTTATCTAACTGCTAAGCACAGCACAACCATTACCGAGTGAGAGGTATACAGCGCTGAGGGACAAAAAATAAAGCAGCAAAATCAAATTAAAAGGCAACAG